ATCTCTGGCCGCAGTGACCACTAGTTACCATCTCTGGCCGTAGTGACCACTAGTTACCATCTCTGTCTCTAGTGACCACTAGTTACCATCTCTGACAGTAGTGACCCCTAGTTACCATCTCTGGCTGTAGTGATCACTAGTTACCATCTCTGGCTGTAGGGACCACTAGTTACCATCTCTGGCTGAAGTGCCTACTAGTTACCATCCCTGGCTGTAGTGACCACTAGTTACCATCTCTGCCTGTAGTGACTACTAGTTACCATCTCTGGCCGTAGTGACCACTAGTTACCATCTCTGCCTGTAGTGACTACTAGTTACCATCTCTGGCCGTAGTGACCACTAGTTACCATCTCTAGCTGTAGTGACTACTAGTTACCATCTCTGGCCGTAGTGACCACTAGTTACCATCTCTGTCTCTAGTGACCACTAGTTACCATCTCTGACTGCAGTGACCACTAGTTACCATCTCTGGCTGTAGTGACCACTAGTTACCATCTCTGGCTGTAGTGAACACTAGTTACCATCTCTGACAGTAGTGACCACTAGTTACCATCTCTGGCTGTAGTGACCACTAGTTACCATCCCTGGCTGTAGTGACCACTAGTTACCATCTCTAGCTGTAGTGACTACTAGTTACCATCTCTGACTGTAGTGAGCACTAGTTACCATCTCTGGCAGTAGTGTCCACTAGTTACCATCTCTGCCTGTAGTGACCACTAGTTACCATCTCTGGCTGTAGTAACCACTAATTACCATCTCTGGCTGTAGTGACCACTATTTACCATCTCTGACCGCAGTGATTTTCTTTATCGTTTTTCTTTTAAAAATATATATTTTTTCAACACAAACACACAATGAGAATATGTAAACAAATAAACAATCCCACGAATATACGCATTTTCACATGGATATTATAGTTAAACATTTCAATTTCAAAAGTATTTTATTGACAATACATATATAATACAAACATATAAGTTAACATTAAAGAAGATATTAGAACAGTATTGACAAAAGAATAAGACAACAGGCTTTGCCTATATCAGTCTTCTTCTAATTCCGGTAGATATGTACAATGCTTAAATATATAAAATGTTGTGATTCGTTTCCTCTCACACTCATGCACACCCACACCCACACCAGCTTATGTCTAATACTCGTTATTTAAGGGATAAAACTTGCCTGAATAACAATAATTATAACAATACATGAATATTCATTTGGAAATTTATCTAGCACGTATAAGTAACGAAACGTTTTGATGATTTAATATAAGAGTCAACATGTATAAGAATAGTTTTATTTAATTGGTTGGATGCATTACTAATACCATATACTAAACAGTGCAGATTTAAATATCCTACTAGATTATAAATAGTGGTAATATGATGCCTAATATTAGAATACAGAGGACATTGAAAGAAAAAATGTATTAGATCTTCCCTCTGTACACCACATACACAGGAAGCATCATCAATCAGATGGTCTTGTAACTTATCACAGTTAAGATCACTTTTAAAATTTCTTAGCTGACATAAAATTATGTTAAGTTTCCTCGGAACACAGTTAATAAAAGTTTCTGAGACGGATGTATCAAAGGTTTTTTTAAGTTTCTTTTTAAAAGATGAAATTGAGATGGAGTCTCGTACAGTGCTATCAAGTGCATTCCATTTTACCATTGTAGAAGGGAAGAAGCTATTCATATAAGTAGTAGTTCTTGTCTGTGGTATATTAAAGAATCTGTTATTTCTGAAGGTATAGTTATTATTTACATTTAGAAATGGTTGAATGATATTATCGAGATAAGTTGGAGTGTAATTATTAAGAATCTTATACATTAATGTTAGTTTATGATTTTGTCTTCGTGTGTGTAATGTTTCAAGTTGTGTTTCAGTATACAGAATATGATGAGATGTACCTCGTCTGAGGCCAGTAATTAAACGCATAGCTTCTAGTTGAACTGATTCTAAAAGATCTGATTCCGATTTGGTACAATTATCCCATACTATATCAGAATATTCTAGCACAGGTCTTATATAAGAGACATATAATGTTTTTAATGTATTCCTATCAACTGTAGTTTTTAAAATTCTAAGAATACTTAGTCTAGAGTTCGCTTTCTTATAAATATTTGAAATGTGATCTGACCATGTCCCTTTACTGTTAAATGTTAGTCCTAAGTGAGTATGGTGTTCATGTTGTGCAATTGGAGTATTGTTAAATAGCAGTTGAGGATGATTGTTAATGTGTCTACGAGAGAAGTTAATAGCTACAGTCTTATTCGGATTGAATAGGATCTGCCATCGCTTTGACCATTCAGAGATTGAGTCAAGATCATCATTAAGCATGTTAGTAGGTGTTGTAAGGTCATTGTTATTATTTACTATTACATAGAGAGAGGTATCATCTGCAAAGAGTTTTATATGAGAAGTTACATTATTAGTAATATCATTAATAAAAAGAAGAAAGAGGAAGGGACCAAGGACAGATCCTTGAGGAACCCCTGCAGACATAGGTTTGGTACTAGATTTATAACCTTCAAAGATAACCCTTTGTTTTCTGTCAGATAAGTAAGCTTTAAACCAATTATATAATTTACCTTTAATACCATATGTTTTTAGTTTATATAATAGGCCCAAATGCCATACTCGATCAAATGCTTTACTTATGTCACAGAAAACAAAACGCAAATCTTTACCTTGGTCTAAATTGCCACTTATAGTATTATAGATATCAGATAGTTGGTTAGTAGTGGAGTCTTTGGGTTGAAATCCTGACTGATGTACACTTAGCATATTGTGACTTGAAATATAATTAAACGTATATTTAAAAATATTTTTTTCTAACATTTTGATAAAAATAGATGTAATAGCAATAGGTCTATAATTATTGAGATCACTGATATCTCCTTTACCTTTATAGAGAGCAGTAACATTAGCCGTTTTTAGTACATCAGGTATTACTCCGATAGATAAAGTTCTATTAAATAATAGTTTGAGTGGGTATACTAAAGAAGCAGAAATGTTCTTTACAATCATAGGTAAAATACCATCAGGACCAGCTGGTTTGTTTTAATTAAAAATGTCAAATTGGTCCGTTATATCTTGTTCAGTAATGTTAATGTCAGAAAGTTCAAATGGACATAAGGGAGGTAAATCAGGTAGGTTAGTGTCAGATATATCAGAGGCAATGGTGGTAAAGAAGTTATTTAGTGCCTCAGCTTTATCTTGTGGATGGATTAATATTTTATTGTTAGATTTTAGAGGATAAGAATTAGTGCTAGTGTTATTCATTTTTCCTATAGATTTTGCTATCTGCCACCATTTTCTTGGATGCACTGTTTTGTCGGCAAGACAATTTTGAAGTTTCTTAAAGTAATTTTCTTTGGATTGCCGAATAATTTGTATAGTGTCATTGCGACAAGTTCTAAATTTTGCCCAATCTTGTTCCCTATTTTTATTTTTAGCTCTTTTATGTAATCTATTCTTATATCTTAATTTACGCCGAATTTCACCAGTCATCCAAGGTTTATCATCAGGATGGACAGTAATTGTTTTGTGAGGTATATGAGAGTTAGTAGCAGAGGTTATTTTGTTTATTATAGTAGAATATAGTTCATTAATGCTAGTAGTGTTATTAACTATGGAATCCCAATCATTACTAAGTAGTTCATTATTAATAGCATCCCAATTAGCTTCATTGAACTTATATATAGGTTTCTTGAATGGTTTATTTTTTAGTGTCTTAAAACAAATGTTAGCAAGGATGGGGCAGTGATCACTACAGAGAGGGGAAAGTACATTTGTTGAGGTAAAAATGTTTACATTATTAGTAATAAATACATCAATTAAGGTAGCAGTAGTGTTTGTAATGCGTGTTGGTGATTGTATTAAGTTTTTTAAGTGATATTTAGTAATTAATCTTGCAAGATGTGAATTAGGTTTCATTGTGATAAAGTCAATATTTATGTCACCAGTGATAATGATATTAAGATTAGTATTAGAAAGATTATCTAAAATGTTATCAAGTTTATTCCAGTAATCTACTTTTGTATTAGGAGGTCTATAAAGACAGCAGAGAAGTTTATAGTTAAACATGCTACCAATGTTTTATTTTCAACTAGAGCTTACTACAAGTAGATATCTAGCTTGCATCCCGCTCTCTCATAAATACATATTTCATTAGCATGCATTCATTTATGATGATTTTCATAATATTCAGTCGTGAAGGACTGATTTATTTAAAATAGACACTTTATCTTTCACCCAATGTTCCACCAATCTGTCACAAGATCGTGCCCTGGTAGGGAATCAGCAGAAGGCTTGGGAAGGCGGAGGGGTGTTGAAAACAAATGGTAGCGTAAAATACTTGCCTTGCTGTTGACATTTTATGTTTAGAAACATTCTACACATTAATGTTCGCTGTTTATCGCTGGTTTATTAGTTGCCAACAACATGCCAGTCCTTAAATCATAACTAAATTAAGGTCTCGCTTCACTCGTTGTTAAATAGACCAATATATAAAGCGTCCAATTACCAAATAGGTTTCCTTAATTCACTTATTTAAAGTTTTGTGCATGGCGACTCACCAAACAAATTTCCATCATATTATTTTTTACATTGGGAGATGCTGATTTTATTTGATTAGAAGGTACATGGAATTGAAAATAAATATTTAAACGGGGACCACTAAACTAGAAAATTCCCAATACAGGATCCTAAATTTTTGTGAATATTTCAACCACTTACATTTTATCAGTGATATGTCGATATAAATACTTGAAGGTTGTTTTGTGGCTGATTCCACATAACCTTTCCTATATACGAGACGCCCTGTACAGCATGAGAGGCGGAGGCCCGAGGGCTAATATGGGTCGAGGGTTCGTTGACGGTTGGATATGGTAATTACTACTTATTGTGATATTTTGATCACATACAGAAAACGTAAAGCTTGTTACCAGTAACGTAGGAATTATTATCAATAACACATGAAACATATACAATTTATTATTGTGTTTTATTGTTCATTTCAAGTCCAAACAGTCAAAACGATTTGGAAGTAGAATGGAATTGGTGCTTGCAAGATAGATACGCATCAGGCCGAAATACTGAATAGACACAGCTTATCTTTCGCAAACAATCAAAGACAAGTTGATGCTTAAAGATTCTGTCATTGTAATTGAAGTGATGTCTTCAAAGCGATCACACTTATCAGTATTTCCCTATCACTGCGCCGTCTGCCGGTGAATATGACGACCGACCACTATTTAGTTTGAGCTGCAGTGAGATAATAATTATCTGAGTGTTTTGATAATATTGCCCCTCATTACAAATGTAACATGGTATACTAACAATGTTGCAAATATATCCTACTAAAAAGAAAATGGGCAAATAGTTATCAAGGCATGATCTTAAAGGATGCCCAATGTTACTTCCCTCAAACTACGTCACTAACTAGCACGTGAAAACGGTGACATTTCCCAACACAAAACAAAGGTTTTGTTTTTGAAAAATGCAAGAAATAGAAACCTCTTCTTTTTCTAGTTGTACGCCATATATATTTTATATCTTTTGGTTTAATGGCCAGCTATCAAATATCTTATATATATTCATAAAAGAATATCGAGATACGGTGTCTTTTCTGAGAATCAGTTATTCCTGGGATAGTCATCAATGCTAGTAATTACAATCCGTGCTTTTTTTTCCTTTGTGACGTCATAGATACATGACGTCACTACTTGTGTAACGTCACTTCAGTGCGTTGCCCCACGTGTCCGATATTATCATTAGCGCTACAGCAGCTTCTGAAATCAGAGGAAACAGAAACGAATATCTTATTTAATTTATAGACAATTAATCATCGTCAAATCGAGTTCAACCGAAGTGCCGATATTCTTTTTTTTATAATTAGTCAGTTAAATGCACTTCATAATCTTCGGAAATAAAAATCAGCCAATCAGAAAAGAGTTATAATGAGCAAAGTAAGCAAAATCATGTAACTGTTCTGTTTCACTGTGTCTTGAAAAAGGAGCGGATCGCTCCGAAAATTACTTCTTTGCCCCATACAGTTACAATATATATACATAACATGACATAACACAAACATTATATAAAGACACACACACTCATTCATTATCATACAAATACCAATACAATTATCAGAAAGGAAAGGTAGGATTGTTGAAAATGTGTATTACATTTTGAATTTCTAAGCTAGCTGTCAGTGTGAACGTAATCAATATTTGCATTTACTCAATATAACAATTATATTTATAAATTGATAAGTTACTTATGGTAAATCAGTCGTAATTTCAAGTTTGGGTGTTTCAAAAAAAGCTTTGCCATTTGGCCCATTCTGAAACTTTAGTGTATTTTTCAGGGCGATAATGCAGAGTTCGTTCTTGTGGCACCTTGATTTGTAGATATATTGTTTTATTGTAAAGATGATCATATTATCCACTTTTCTGTTTATTCCATTCTGACGATATGTACCAAAAAGAACAGATTTCTTATTAAATTAAATTCAAATGGAATGAACAGTGAATTCAACAAATTTTCTAAGTTTACAAGTAAAATCTGAACTTTTTCACAGTTCCATAGCGTATGCTCTATCGTTTCAATTTCTGTTTTACAAATGTTACAATAAGGACTGTCTACTAACCCAACTTTAAATATGTACGAATTTGTTATTAGAATATGGTGATTAATCCTAAATTGGAACCATTGCAATTTTGTATTTTTTGTTACAGAAAATGGGAGTTTAAAAATCATTTTCCAATCACCTTCATCAAATTCAAATTGTTCATCCCATTTTTTTGTTCCACTTGCAATTATATCATTTTTACTAAGCACATTATAAAAAATCTTTTGCACCTTTCTGTTTTTTAGCAAATATTTGTAATTTTCTTGGAATAAAAGGATAGTCTATTTTTGGATGGGTCAAGTTACACCGACTGCAAAGCTCCTTTATAGCTGTAACAATTCCGTGATATTGTAAGAAATTTGCTATAACACCATATATTTCTCTTAATAAAAAAAACCTGAAGGAGTTGTTGTTATCCTTTTTTAAGTCATTAACTACTACAACTCCCTTCCTATACCAATCCTTATAAAACACTATTATAATCTATTTTGATTTTTTCGTTACACCATATAGGCATGTCAGAGATCTGTTTTGAATCTGTATATTTTTCCTCAAGAATAGTAAGATTTTTCCATGCAAGAAAGACATCTTTCCAGAAAAGATTTTTACAGTTATTATGACAAAAGGAAATATAGTCTGATCCACAGTTTACGAGAAGGTTTTTATCAATAGTTGAATTAAAAATAATTAGCCATGTTCCTGTTGTTGAGAGTAATCTTCTAATCCAAGCTAGTTTTAATGAGTCTATATATGATTTAATATGAATCATTTTGAGACCACCATCAGAAAAGATTTTAATAATAACATCTCTTTTAATTTTTTCAATCTTACTATTCCAGAGGAAGTTATATATTTCTGTATTTATCTTTTTGACCAGTGTATTATCAGGATTTGGTAAAGTGATAAATAAGTGATTAAATTGAGAAATTAGGATAGACTTTATTATATCTATTCTCCGTATTGGTTTAAGAATTCTCCTACTCCAAGTCTTCTTAAAAGCTTTAAGTTTTACTAGTTTTTTTATCAAATTTATTTTTGGAATACGATGTAGATCAACATGAAAATCAATGCCCAGAAGTGTAAACCTTGTGTGCCCCCACTGTAAATTCCATTCATTAGCCATAACCTCAGCACTATTTTTTTTACTCCCTATCCAAACTACTTCGGTTTTTCCCAAATTCATTTTTAATGCGGATATTTTTTCAAAGTATTTTAATTCTTTTATAGATTCTCTTAGTGATGTTTCTGATCCGTCCAGAATTAAAGATGGGTCGTCTGCATATTGTTCAGCTTCAAGTACTTTTCAGCCTTTGATATTCTTGTTATTTCTTATTTTGATTACCAAAATTTCCGAACAGAGTATAAAAATATAAGGTGATATCGGAACACCTTGTCGACAACCCCCTTTTATATCAAAGAATTTTGACAGATTCTCCCCCTGATTAATTGCCGAATTAGAGTTTTTTTGAAAAGTTTTTACCCATTTTTTGATACTATGTCCAAAATTAAAGAAATCCAATACTTTATCAATAAATTTCCAGGATACAGAATCAAAAGCTTTTTCAAAATCTATCATGAGTAACATCCCTGGTATATTATTTTCCTCTGTAAATTACATTATATCATATATTAACCTGGTGTTTTCCCCAATGTATCGCCCAGAAATGAAACCTGTTTGATCTGTATTAATAAGTTTATCTAAGACTGATTTTAATCTCCCTGCTATTGTTCCAGAAGCTATTTTATATACTATATTTAAAGTAATTATGCCCTCTTTTTGAGTTACAGATAGTTCACCATTTTCATAACTATTGTTACTAGATCTTACTACAAAAATACCTAACTGTTTCCAAAAGCCCTTAAAAAATTCGACTGTGAATCCATCTGAGCCAGGACGTTTATTATTTTTCATATTATAAAGAGTTTTTGATGCCTCAGTTATAGAGATAGGACCTTCTAAGTTTTCAGATTCTGTAACATTTAACTTTGGAATATCAATATTTTCAAATAGATTGTCTAAGTTAACATCCTCTATAGTATCATCATCAATATACAAATTTTTATAAAAAAAAAAAAAGTTCATAATGTCTACTTGATCAGAAATTAAAGTGTCATTGTCTTTTCAAACAAGAAAATTGATAAAATTGAATGCATCAAGAAAATCGATAACATTGATTACACCAAGAAAATTGATAATATTGAATGCATCAAGAACATTGATAACATTGAATACATCAAGAACATTGATAACATTGAATGCATTAAGAAAATTGATAACTTTGTATCTAACAAGAAAATTGATAACATTGAATGCATCAAGAACATTGATAACATTGTATCCATTCTGTCAGCTTCTGTTCTTACCTAAATAGTTCAGTTTGTCATCTTTATTAAAGTCTCCCATTTCTATCATTTTCTGTGACACCTCGGCGGCTTCCTGATCGGAAAATCCAATACTATTTTTGAAAAATAAAAAGGTTTCGTGTTCTGTCAATTGACCACTACCATCCACGTCTCCAAATTCCAACATCATCTCCGCCATGTCGGACGCGTGGCTTCGTTTCACAAGTTTCTGAAGTTAATAAATATAAGCATTTAGATCTCATATATGAATTATCTGAGCAGGTCTGGTTACCGGACACAGAAACAGTTTCACTGTTCAATGCCTACTTGATTCCTGAGCACAATGATTGATCCGACTTCACGTAAATCATATACTGTATTTCGAAATTGGATTTCTGTCTATTTCACTTTGCACGAGCCTTTAAAACCGAAAGATTGAGTCATGTTATTTGTAGTTTGTCAAGCTGATTTACAGAAAATGATCAATACCTCTAAGTTTGCTTACATACCTTTCGATGAAACTCTGAACCAAACACAAGTTATATCGTATCTTTTCTGTCTGCTATTTAGAAAATATATATACCCCCTAACCCCCACCACCACCCACCACCACCCCCTACCCCCTCCCGCCCCCACAATAATCCCGTTACATTATTTATACCTTTTATATGTTTCTAATTATTAGTCTCTATTTTTAACGTTTGAGTAGGTACACAGGAAATAAATGAAAAACGATCCTAACAAATCTTACATCATATCAGTATCAAAACGGAACATATAACCTCATCAAAATGGCGGGCTTAATTATTATAAGTTTTACCTTGGCATGCCTGCTCGACACTGTTCCGGTCCGCTGTGGTATTGTGGGAAGACTTAGGCACGTGCAGATAATTGCCGAAAAGAATATCACGCGGTCAGTTGCAACAAACTTCATCTTGTTCTCTGTAAGACAATTAAACAGGCAGTAAGTACACGTCGGGTGTATATTTAACAAGCACGTGTCTGACAAATGTAAGATAAGATTGTCATAAATACGAATATATAAAAAAAATCAGACGACCATATGTCAAACATGATTCAAAACTTAAGTTAAATGTATGGTGGCATATTTCTGCCATCGACTTGCGACTTGCGAGTTACCTATGTCGCTTATTTATGCAAAGCAAAACGAGCAGTATACAAGTCCTTCCCTGAGCAATTATCACGTGACCAAACCTTATTATCATAAGCTAATAGAACACCACGTGATGCACGTTTTGTTTTGCATAAATGAGTGGCAAATCGATGTCACATCTGAGCATAAACATGATAAAAGCCAAGTTTCCTGCTTTCATAAAATGCATTAAAGGAGTTTCTAGTCTATCAGATGAAAATGATATGAAATGTATGAAGTGTAATACTTCAGTGCCCTTAAACAAACATCGCACCTGTTGTTTGGAGAGATCGATAAACAAGAAGTGAACGTGCTGTGAAAAGAATCACTAGGACTGAAGCTTCAAATAAGTGTAAAACATACGTCAAATATTGACGCAAAACACTGCTCAAAAATGTAACGGATATGTCTTTCATAAGAATAGTCCAAGGAAGAGAAGGGATTGTGATTGTCACATTACGAACTAATGTATGTCTATGAAATACTTATAAGCTCAGCACGGTAATCGTACTGATAACTATTGATAAAAACATATTTAAAACATAAGGATCATTTAACATGATGCGCATCCTCGATATCCAGAGGTTACGTTCACTTTCGCTCTCTACACCTCTGGAATATGTCAAAGCAAAATTGAAGGCACGAAGATAGCTGTTTGATTGGTCTCAGGTAAAAAAACCTGACCAATCGCTAGGCTGATACCTGTCCTTTGTAGATTACAAAGAAGATACGCCCGACTTCAAAGCCTGTCAATTTTTACCGTTACGTGAACGCGAGATTCTTTTGATGTATATCAAAGGATCGAACTAGTCTTCTTGTCTCATCAACAAGGTGGCGTACACTGAGCCTTCATTTTTGCTATGACATATTCCAGGGTTACAGAGAGCGAAAGTGAGCGTAACCCCTGGATATCGAGGATGCATGATGCGGTTCCGTCATCGAAACATCTGGGCGTTTTTTGTCAACCCGTCAATAACACAGCCCAACCCTGACTTTCATTACATTCCTTTACATATATAACCCACAGGCTCGACAATGCGGAGGAGTGGGCACATGGCTCCTGTCATCACCGCTCCTTTGTCGAACCTATTTGGTCTAAGTCGCACTAAGGAATGCATTGTTTTACTGTGTGTACTATAAACGTACCGACTAGGTGTACGAGATGACCGAGAGTTGTGTGCGTTTTCTTGTTAAACAATTAACGCATTACGCAGTTCGTAGAACAAGTTACGATACTATATGATTTACCCTACTTCTGTCAATGGTGTGAAGAGTAAAGTCAATTTTCATTTTCGAATTTATTTCGTAATACAAATTAACACATTTAACTAAACAGAAATTGTCATACGAGCCCTGGGTCGAGTTGGTCAAAAGGTTATGAGATTAATGAAGAGTTATTGCCTATTATTAAAATTCTAATATTGGGCAATATATGAAGATTCTGCTGTCTTCAAACATTCAATACATATGTAAATATACTTAATCATTGTTTTACGTTAACCTGTCGTTACGGTGTAACGAGGTTTCTGGAACGACGAGATTTGTGTACTAATTAAGTTAAAAAAAATCATATTTTGAATACTTTTCCGGATAACTGACGTTCGGTCTAAAGATGTCTGATTAAACGAGGTTCCACTGTAGCCATATTAACACCTGTTGTCATGATCCACCATGTGGTCAATTGTTTATCACCCGTCCATTTATCTAATGTCCAGTTAATCACTACTGCCCGGTAGGGATGCCATGATACACATACAAAAGTCAATATTCTAACTTCAGACGCTGATCATTCACGAATGATATATACACATATTGAATGCCGGAATGACAGAAAACCAGTAACTTCAATTTAACGCGGTACATATTGTTAAATGATTGAGGCGTGTGATGAAAAGGGAAGGGTGCGTAGGTGGGCAAAATATTTCCTCATATCATTTTCAGAGGGTAATAAACAAGCAAACAAAAACAGACATTCAAAGCCAAACCTCATAGCTTGTCAAATATCATTTTCATTAAAAAAAAGAGTCTAGGACAGAGGCTTCTACAATGGAGGTACTTGTTGACGGATATACCAATACTGTTCAGACTGAAAATATGAGGTTCATTCCTGTATTATTACTATTCATATATTTAGTCATTCGCATAAAAGTCAAACCCATTAATAATATTCTACCTCCTATTATTCTTTTTACTATTAACTATTGATATTCTATTATTATTATTTATTTATTTTATCTTTTTTTTTACGATTAATAACCTTATGAAAACTATTAAATTCTATTATAAACTGTATAACTTATATACAGTAAACCACCTACAATTTGTTAATCATTAGTAAAATGTTGTTCTCAATTCAGTATTTGCAATACATACCATATTTATGACAATGCTTCAATATGAATAATCTTGTTGTTCATTTACGCGAATATTGTATCCTTTAAGAAACGTGGTTTGCACAAGCCTTACACGGGTGCAACTGTTTTATACACTGCATTGATAACCTACAACGATCCCACGAACAGAATAAACAGAGTTAAAGCTTTCGTGGATAAACCAATCTTTCACTGTATAGAAAAGTGTAAAAAAATATTTACTTGATTTTAAAGATTTAACTTGGCAACATTATAAATTTGAATTGCTGTTCAATGAACGCAAACATCCTAAAACCCACCCTTGTACTAATCTAGTTGTTCCACTACCCACCCTTGTAAATAGTCACCACTAGTCTGGTTGTTCCACTACCCGCCCTTGTAAATACAGTCACCACTAATCTGTTTGTTCCACTACCCACCCTTGTAAATACAGACACCACTAATCTAGTTGTTCCACTACCCACCCTTGTAAATACAGTCACCACTAATCTGGTTGTTCCACTACCCACCCTTATAAATCCAGTCACCACTAATCTGGTTGTTCCACTACCCACCCTTGTAAATACAGTCACCACTAATCTGTTTGTTCCACTACCCACCCTTGTAAATAGTCACCACTAATCTGGTTGTTCTACTACCCACCCTTGTAAATACAGTCGCCACTAGTCTGTTTGTTCCACTACCCACCCTTGTGAATACAGTCACCACTAATCTAGTTGTTCCACTACCCATCCTTGTAAATAGTCACCACTAATTTGGTTGTTCCACTACCCGCCCTTGTAAATACAGTCGCCACTAGTCTGTTTGTTCCACTAACCACCCTTGTGAATACAGTCACCACTATTCTAGTTGTTCCACTACCCATCCTTGTAAATAGTCACTACTAATCTGGTTGTTCTACTACCCGCCCTTGTAAATACAGTCACCACTAATCTGGTTGTTCCACTACCCACCCGTGTAAATAGTCACCACTAATCTAGTTGTTCCACTACCCACCCGTGTAAATACAGTCACCACTAATCTAGTTGTTCTACTACCCGCCCTTATAAATACAGACACCACTAATCTGGGTGTTCCTCTACCCACCCTTGTAAATACAGACACCACTAATCTGGTTGTTCCTCTTCCCGCCCTTATAAATCCAGTCACCACTAATCTGCTTATAAATCCAGTCACCACTAATCTGCTTATAAATCCAGTCACCACTAATCTGCTTATAAATCCAGTCACCACTAATCTAGTTGTGCCACTACCCACCCGTGTAAATACAGTCACCACTAACCTGGTTGTTCCACTACCCACCCGTGTAAATAGTCACCACTAATCTAGTTGTTCCACTCCCCACCCGTGTAAATACAGTCCCCACTAATCTGGTTGTTCCTCTACCCGTGTTCCACTACCCGCCCTTGTAAATACGGTCACCACTAATCTGGTTTTTCCACTACCCACCCGTGTAAATACAGTCCCCACTAATCTAGTTGTTCTACTAACCACCCTTGTAAATACAGTCACCGCTTATCTAGTTGTTCCACTACCCTCCACTACCCACCCTTGTAAATGCAGTCACCACTAATACCACTAATCTAGTTGTTCTACTTCCCTCCCTTGTAAATACAGTCACCACTAGTCTGGTTGTTCCACTACCCACCCTTGTGAATACAGTCACCACTATTCTAGTTGTTCCACTACCCATCCTTGTAAATAGTCACCACTAATCTGGTTGTTCCTCTTCCCGCCCTTATAAATCCAGTCACCACTAATCTAGATGTTCCCCTACCCACCCGTGTAAATACAGTCACCACTAATCTGGTTGTTCCTCTACCCACCCTTGTAAATACAGTCACCACTAATCTAGATGTTCCACTACCCACCCGTGTAAATACAGTCACCACTAATCTAGTTGTTCTACTACCCACCCTTGTAAATACAGTCACCACTAGTCTGTTTGTTCCACAACCCACCCGTGTAAATACAGTCACCACTAATCTGGGTGTTCCACTACCCACCCTTGTAACTACAGTTACCACTAATCTGGTTGTTCAACTACCCACCCTTGTAAATACAGTTACCACTAATATGGTTGTTCCACTACCCACCCTTGTAAATCCAGACACCACTAATCTGGTTGTTTCTCTACCCACCCTTGTAAATACAGTTACCAGTAATCTGGTTGTTCCACTACCCAACCTTGTAAATACAGTTACCACTAATATGGTTGTTCCACTACCCACCCTTATAAATCCAGTCACCACTAATCTAGTTGTTCTACTACCCGCCCTTGTAAATACAGTCACCACTAATCTGGTTGTTCCTCTACCCACCCTTGTAAATACAGTCACCACTAATCTAGTTGTTCCACTACCCACCCTTGTAAATACAGACACCACTAATCTGGTTGTTCCACTACCCGCCCTTATAAATCCAGTCACCACTAATCTAGTTGTTCTACTACCCTCCCTTGTAAATACAGTTACCACTAATCTAGTTGTTCCACTACCCGCCCTTATAAATCCAGTCACCACTAATCTAGTTGTTCTACTACCCGCCCTTGTAAATAGTCACTACTAATCTGGTTGTTCCACTACCCGCCCTTGTAAATACAGTCACCACTAATCTGGTTGTTCCTCTACCCACCCTTGTAAATACAGTCACCACTAATCTGGTTGTTCTACTACCCACCCTTGTAAATACAGTCACCACTAATCTGGTTGTTCCACTAACCACCCTTGTAAATACAGTTACCACTAGTCTGGTTGATCCACTAACCACCCTTGTAAATACAGTCGCCACTAGTCTGTTTGTTCCTCTACCCACCCTTGTAAATACAGTTACCACTAATCTAGTTGTTCCACTACCCACCCTTGTAAATACAGTCACCACTAATCTAGTTGTTCCACTACCCGCCCTTATAAATACAGTCACCACTAATCTAGTTGTTCCACTACCCACCCTTGTAAATACAGTCGCCACTAGTCTGTTTGTTCCACTACCCACCCTTGTAAATACAGACATCACTAATCTGGTTGATCCACTACCCACCCTTGTAAATACAGTTACCACTAATCTGGTTGATCCACTACCCACCCTTGTAAATACAGTCACCACTAGTCTGGTTGTTCCACTACCCACCCTTGTAAATACAGTCGCCACTAGCCTGGTTGATCCACTAACCACCCTTGTAAATACAGGCGCCACTAGTCGGGTTGATCCACTAACCACCCTTGTAAATACAGCTACCACTAATCTGGTTGATCCACTAACCACCCTTGTAAATGCAGTCGCCACTAGTCTGGTTGATCCACTAACCACCCTTGTAAATGCAGTCGCCACTAGTCTGGTTGATCCACTAACCACCCTGGTAAATACAGTCGCCACTAGTCTGGTTGATCCACTAGCCACCCTTGTAAATACAGTCGCCAC